AGCTATATGTTCCAACTATATGTCCTAACTATGTCTCATATATGTCACAAATATCCTATCTGTCCTATCAATGTCCCATTAGTGTCCCATTAGTGTCCTAACTATATCCCATAACAACACTGTATAAGGGTAGGATCAATAGTAGGTATTATATAACTTGGATTGAACAATAGTCACAGGTTATAGGTGATTAATATTACACTGTTTTTAACCATTGTAATGCCTATATTACAACTAAGGTTTAGAAGCCTGAATTTAATTCTTAGGATGATTTTGATATATAGCGAGACAACTATAGTATAGGCTATCATATTAGGTTATTCTTAATTCTCTTTTCAGTAGTTGTGATGATTGTGAATGATGACGAATACCAAAGTACTCTACTATGAGGTTTAGTGGTTTGGCAGTCTACTAGGTAGTGACACTCATTCACCTAGGTTTAACACAAATTCATACTAGATTGTAATATACCAAAGGGGTTATAGTGATAATTATATATCGTAAGTCATATCATTTTGTTGAAGGGTATACAGCTAAATTTTATCATTGATATGTGCCTAGTAAAAGTATCAAAAAAATGATTTTGACTATTTCGACCATTTTGAATATCTGAAATGATCAATTTTGACTTTATATATAGTCTTTATATTTTCAGATAAGCATATATAATTATTCACTCGCAGTTGAGTATGAGATACTTGTCTTTTCTTTTATTTTAAGAGCAGGAATCATCTCATTCTCAATATTTTTATAAAATCAGCAATATATAACTTAAATTTATACACACGTAGATATTTAATAACTAGCAATTTAACATTTCTATATAAAAGAAAAGATCTAATTTTATATGACGTTCACGTTTGGATGTAACAATCATACTATTACTAAGCTATTGGTTAGTCCAGAAGAGAATAAGTCATACTTGCTATAGATCTTTATTTAAGCTTTAGACAAGCAGATTACTTGTATCTATCTTTGTATATTCTTAATTCTAAATTAAATGAAGGAATTGACTTACCATTTAAAACTGCAAATTGTTTTTCTTTTTTTTAACATCCAAAAATTCCAATATGAACTCATTATTATCATCTTTATCATTATTAATATATATGTATATATTATTAAATATAGAATTATTATTATCTATATTAGGTTTAGCAGTTTCATTTGTTAGAAATATTTTAGTAATTTTTTTAGAACCTAAAGCTGCTTTTTTCTAATAAGCCTTCTTATTACGCGATATCGATTTTGCAATATCTTTGTAAACTGGTCTATATAAATTTTTAGCTTATTTATGTGACTTAGCATTTTTTAACCAGTTGTTTTAGCATATTTAGCTTCTATGCTTGCATTTTATCTATAAGTTTATCATTATTAAAATGTATTTTCTTACCTTCTATCTAAAAAGTACTGAATTATAATTTATCAAACTCATCAGGTTCAGCATCTGATAGTTCAAGTATAATTTTTTCTAAGTATTTTTCTTATTTTCAGTATTTTTTAATAGCTTTCTGAGACTTTTTGATATATTTATTTAGTTTCAGCATTATAATTCTATTAAATTGAGATATAAAAAAAGGAAAATATTAAAAAAATTATCACAAATGATGTTAAATAATGTGAGATTTTGTGATTTAACTATTATCTCATAATCATAAGTTAGTTTTTGACCAATGAAACCACGAGTTGAATTTGAAAAGTATCAGTAAAATTTTTAGTAGAGATTTAACCATTTGATGCTAATAAATTATTTGTATCATATATTTGTTTTTTGATTTATTTTATATTTTTTTATAATTATATTTATTTAATATTATGAAAAAAATTACAAGATTTTTAGAGAATTGATGATAGATATTTAACCTTATAAGATTATTTAAGAATATTATTAATTAATCTTTTAGTATTAATATTTAAATATGAAGATAAAATTCAAAAATGCAAATTATAATAAAGTATTGTTAATAAAAAGGTTAATTAGTCAATTATGATTGAAGAATTATAATGATCTATATATATATTTGCTTTATATATAGCATAAAAATAATTTAGTTTCTAAAATTTTAAAATTAATTAATCAAAATAATTTGATTAATTAAATCTTTATTAATGATTTAATATTGGCAAAACAATAACATTTATTTCTTTTATAGTAGATTATTTTTATTATAAATAGGAAGATTATTTTATATAAAATGTTATTAAATCTCAAAAAAAAATGTTTATCAAATTAATCTTAAAACCATATTATTCATATTAAACTCATATTATAAAAACTAATGAATAGGATTGCTAGACGAAATCTAGAGTTTAGATAGGTAAAGGTAAAACTTGGTTAAATTATAATAAAACCTAATTAAAAAATCAGAAAAAGCTAAAATTATATCATAGCTTATAAAAATGGCGAAACTATATCAAACACTTAGTAAAAATTTAGCAAAACTAAAGGTTTAGATATTTAAACAAGCAACCTTACTAACATATTATAATTATAAATGCTCTTCAAATAAATGCTAATTAAATTAAGTAAATAATCAATAATATACGAATTAAAATCTATTTTTCAGTTAATAGGATTACAACAAAATTTGTATAATATATATAAATCTATATTCTTTTATTATTAAATCTTTATCTTTGAAATTTTTTTTAATGATTTCAGAATTTTCATATTAAAATATTATTTGAATTTTTCTACTATTAATCTTTTATAACTAATTAGTTTTCCATTTGAAGTATTCATAACTTTATTCTCCAATAGATTTCTTAATAGTAATCAGGAGTGCTAAGTGATTGAATGCAGGCTGTAATCCTATCCAAAAGGCTTCACTTCATATTGATATAGGCGTCCCTATTTCATGATATCTTAGGATAAAAAGAAAAAAATATAAATTAGTGTATGCCAAATATAAAAGAATTAGTAAGCACAAATATAAGTATAAACTAATCACAATATAACTAATGGAATGATTGCTAGGAAAATCAAGCTACCACGATTTGTTGAAAAATCTCTTGTTTTTCCTAGCGAATATCTCAAATGTTCTCACAAAAAAAAAATATTAAATGAAATGGAAAATAATTTACACAATTTGTTCATTATCTTTTTCTTTGCTAAATTCTCGTAACGCCTCCCCACATTTCAGCACATCAATATCCCAATTATTCATCGTCTTCTTCAACTTCTCTATTTTATCTTCTTATCTTCTTATTCCTATTTTCTTCTTACAACTTACGTTCTAATTCGTCTAATGCCTCTTCCATTTCTCTGACCTCTCTAATTTTTTTCAAGCGTCTGCATTTTTAAAGAAGAATAAATTGATGATAGATTATAAAAAATGCGATCCATCCGAAATTGGACCGAAGGCGATCTTTAAGATCGATTTTTAGACCGACCTTTAGAGATCGATTTTGACTCAATAAATAATAATTTGGTATCATTACAAAAAAAATTATTTCAATGTCTTGGGGTAAGACTAAAGAAGCGTCAAAACATAAAGTTAACAGACATCTAATAGATTTGATAAACTTTAATATTTGTTTATTTAATAAAGTACTATCTATAAACGCACATTGAATTGCTGTTGATTCTCCGCCACGTTCACATTTGTTGAATAGCTAACGTTCGAAATTCAATGCGTTTATCGATTCAGTAAAAAATAGAATGTTAAAAAAAAAAGAATTTATTATAAATGATATTATGTTCCGTTATTGTAAATAATCATAAAAACACTTCTTGTTTAAGTAATAACACGTTATTTTTAGAAATATTTTCTTTTGAAGAATTCTTTTGTAAATTTATTTTTCGCATATCAATCGAACATAATGTAAAGAGCATCAATGGTCATGAGAACGTGATGCAATATTTAGTAAAAGAAATTATTTTGACCCATCATCATCATCACATTTATTTTGGATGAAGAAAGTTCTGGCTAACGTTGATAATTTTTGTTAAAAATAGGCTTAATTTGTTTTTCCCATTTACAACATAATAGAATTTTGCAAAAATCATGATTCTTGTGGTTCGAATTATATTGCAATTTTGTAAATAAATCGTTGAAAATGTAAAAAGCCTTTCTTCTCCAAGTGAGGTTTTGTTATGGATTACATATCTGTTTTAACTTTTCTTTTTTAAAAATATAAGACAAATCCAGAATACCTTTCAGATTTTCAAATATATTTGTCGATCGACTCGATTGTTGAGCTTGCAAATTTCAATTAATTATAGTTACCTTTATCCTTTATCTTTTTATAATATGTGGTGTGATCTATGAAAATCAAGTTCTGAGACTCTTTATCAAATTCAAAATTTTTATTTTATTATTAATATATACGGATATAAGCTTAGGGAACGGGGACCGTTGTTATGTCCGTAGCAAGTGTAACGAAAGTAACCAATCATGTATCGACTCGCTTGATATAAAAGTTATATCTAAAAATCATAATTAATATCCTAAATAGGATATGATTTACATGATCAACATGTTAGAATTCTATATTAAAAATTACTATATTTAGTTTATAAATTAGGTTAAAAATAAAAAAATTAATTATTAATTTAGTATTTGATATTAAATTAGTATAAATAATAATTACTTTTTATTAAGAAATCTATTTCTAAGTTTTGTTAATGATCCCTAATTATTCGATCATTTATTTGTACAACACAACGTTAATCCGTTAAGTCGCATTTGTACTATGAAAAAACATCGGGTTATCAAATGCGCTTTTAATAGACTTCTTTCCCGATGATAAAAGCTATTAAAATAACGGCGAGAATTATAAAAACTCATCTTTTTTTAGAGTAGTAATCCAAAAGAAGAGTTAAACAGAAAAGAAAAAGTGTTCTTTGTAAAGCACTTAAACAAAAAATACTAAAGTAGTCCAAGTGACTCTCTTTCCTTCCTTATTTTAAACAACTTACCCCAATCCTAATTTTTATTCTATTTATTTTTTTAAAAAAAAAAGAGGCAAATTAAATATCAAAATTAATATACAAAATTATGGCCGATTATAATACAACATTCCTCATCCTCATCCAACTTCTTGCCTCAAAACCTCTTGCTTCACTAACACTTCTCTCACTTGTTATAATATCGCTAGCTTCTTATTATGCAGCAGACCCTTGGAAGAAACCAGAAGCTCGAGAAAAAGAACAGGAGTCGGGAAATGTAATACATATAACGGCAAATCATGCGATTGCTTTTGGTGGGATAGCTAGTTTAGGTCTTATAAGTATGTGGACATTCCCAAATGCGCTTGGTAAGATTAAAATTACACGGTCTTATATTTAGCTTGTTTGTTAGTCCTCAAATTTAACTATAAATTTTATTTTGTTAGTTTATTTCAGTCTTGTATCATTTGGACTTGGTGGTTTTTTTGGATTACAGGGCGTTCTTGTAGCAATTTCTAGAAGACTCTCCTTGCCATTTTCAGGTGGCTTATTGGAGACCCTGCTGGCAGGTGGAATAGTGATTTGGTGGGTGCTTATAAGAAATAGCAGGTATGAATGAAGTTTCTTGAAGAGGAATCCCTTTATTCTTGCATGTTGTTAAACTCGCTATTAACGTACTTAAAATCTTCTAGCGAAGCATGGTTATTACAGAATTTTTTAGGAGGTATGTCGATTTTACGAGTGCATTTATTTATATTCAATCTAATGGAAATCACGATATTGATTAGCTTATTAATTGAATAGGTTTCATAATAGCTTTAATGTTAAAAGTTCTTAAATTACCGGACTTACAGGTAGAGTGTTAATATATACCTACTTGTGTAATATTCTTTTTAAAGACACTTTTTTTAATTAAAAAAAACAAACATTTTTAGATATCATCAATCCTGCTTATTACTGCCTTTTTATATGATATATTTTGGGTTTTCATTTCACCGAATTTCACATCAAATGGCAAGTCAGTCATGGAATCCGCAGCTACAGGTTCTGGGCTAACAGTGCATGAACAAGTTCCAATGGTATTTAGAATTCCGATTAGCGATGATCCTGCGCATGGATATGCTATGTTAGGATTTGGAGATATTATTTTACCTGGAATGTTTTTGACTTTATTAAGAGAGGTTGATGTTAGATTAAAAGGATATTGGTTATCTTTAGTACCACAAAGTCCGATGCCTCCCACACCAATGGTTATAGTTGATGATGTTGAAGGAGAAACAACTGAAATAATTTTTGATGGAGAAGAAGAAGAAGAAAATATCTATATTTACGAAAATAATACCGTTTTTGTATTTAATCAATCAACAAATTGGGGAAAAAATAATATATGGCATAGATCAGTATCATCATTACCATCATTATGGACTTATCATTTTACAGGATTAATCGGATACTTTATTGGATTAGAAATGACTTTTATTGCAATGATATTAACACAAATGGGACAACCTGCTTTATTATATCTTGTTCCTTCTATACTTTTACCGGTACTTTTATTATCAATCAAAAGGAAAGAATTTCATCTTATATGGTATGGTAAATTTTGGGAAAATGATGATGATGAGAATACGGACTATTCAAGGTTACCTCAACAAGATGAATTTATGAGACAAGTATGACCTTTAATGAAAAATAATCCGGTTTTTTATCTTCTCACGCATCAAAAATTAAATATTTGGCTTTTTCTTATATTATTTACATTCAAAATAATTTTTAATTAGTTTATTATAATATAAACAAATCAACATTTAAGTTCATAAGTTCATAAGTTCAAAAAAAAAAAAAATCCGTGTATATTTTTTTTTTTTACTCCTTTTATATGCCTATTTATTTATTTATTTTTCTCTTCAATGTTTTTCATTATTTACAAATTTTTGTTTTTTTTTCGTTTTTTTTTTGAAATTTTTTTTTTTTTTTTGACAAAAAAAAAAACTTTTTGCAAATAAATCATGTGACAAATAGCATTTTTAGTAAATAGTGTGGTGATATATAGCCTATCTTTTGTGTGTTTTTTCATATTCAAAAAGTTGGAAATTCGATTATACATAACTTTTTATACTTTTATTTACCAAACCTTTAAGAGCCAAAGATTTGTTTCCGACATTCGGATTTAAAACAAAATTTTGAATCGAACCAAATCTATTGAATTATACCAAACATGAACGCGCGGATATGATTGAACTTTCCTATGTAAATTTAGATATTATATATTCAATTCATCATAAGAATCTGAAGTATTTATTATTATTAATAAAAGAAGTCTTATTTTTTGTTTTAAATTAATTTTCTATTAAAAATTATCAAAATTAAAAAAAAAATAGTCAAATCCTAACATTCAAAAATATTCCCAGGTTTTGGGACTTATATATACAACGATCCAGTTTTTAACTTTGTAAAATGCGTCCTGACGAATATAAGCAAGCACAGGCACGAAAATATCAAGCAAAATTACGTTCTCGAGGCTCTTCAGAATCTTCTAAAGAGGTACAAGAAAAGCGAAAAGAACGAAGTTCAAAATCACGAGGTGGTTTTCAACATAAAGGATATGAAGAAGAAGCTGAGGAAATAGAAGAATATGGAGGTAAGTATAGTAATTTTATTTATATTTCCCTTATAAAACTAGTTGTCATTAATAACCTTTCACTTCTTTAGATAAACGACAAAACTTTAGAAGACGAAAGGTCGAAAGTAATTCTTATCGATATAAAGATATTTCCGATACAGAAGGTAAAAAATTATATCATATAAAAGTACACTTTATAATAACGCGTATATTTAATAATCTTTGACTTTTTAAAATTTAGAAACTACGGATGGAATTGATTTAGAAACCAGAGATTTTTTACAAATGATCGATGTTTCAGGTAATTTAGATTTATTTATTTAAATTTGTTAATCCTAGACTTTACTGTTAACCTTAAACGACTAATAGAAACTCGGTCCTTGGATCCTTCAACGTACTTTCAATTCAAGGAGGAGAAGGACTGGGAGACTTCAATTGAGGCTGTGAATGAATCAGATGAGGTAAATTTTAAAAAAAAAATTGAAATTCCTTTTTCTCTTATTACATATTAACGTAACCTTTATTTTATATAGATATATCAAAACCTGATGAATATCAGCTTCGATGCATTAGAATTATCATTGTCCAATGTATCATTAGCCGAAAGATTGAATTTAAGCGATGATATTTTTATGGTTGAGCATTTTTTTATAATGTTACGTCATTTTCATTCCACAACCCTATCATGATTTATTTTTTATCTCTTAGGAAGGACAAGAAAATGAATTTGAGACGGGTTTAGAGTCAAGTTTAGAAATCGCTGTTCCTATTGTTCCGAAAACTGTTAAGACAGATGTTCAAAAATCCATTTTAAAAAATGTTAAAACTACCGAAACATCACAAACGGTTATATCGAATGTGCGAGTTCCGGCTTCAAACAAAATAATAAAAAAGACTCCAGGTAAGACATGATAAATCTTTCATTTTTGAAAGTACAAATTTTAATATTATCTATAATGAAACAAGAAAAGAAGGTGACTTCTCACAAAAGCATATCGCATATCAGTATCCCAATATTCTTCCGGCCTGATTATTAATAGAAGATATTTTTTTTCTTTTCGATTAGTGTCTACATCCAAAATTTATGCGAATCCCGAGAAACCAACTTCAACAATAAATAATGATGATGATATTGATGATTTTTTGAAATCTCTTGATGACAAAAATGGTAATTTTTTCGTTCTTCTATAAACTTTCAAAATTAATTGTCTCTTTTAAAAATATTCTAATCTACCTACTTTACATAGATAAACCAACCACAATAAATAGTTCAAAATTTCCTTTGCTAAATAATAATAGTAGCTCAAGGAAAAAAGTTAGTACAAATGTAAAAAGCCAAAATAAAGTGACATCAGGAAAAGATGATGATATGGAAGATTGGTTAGATGATATTTTAAAATAGGTCATTAATTTAAATATTATAAAATGATTTTAAAGCACTGATGTATTCATCAGGATATCTAAGAAAATGTTGTACATGTTCACTATCAGCTCCAAATCTTTTTGTTACGATTGTCAATTCGCCCTTTTTCTCATTTTTGATGTGATTACTTTCTCTTTCCTTTAATCTCTCTATAAATTCAATCACATCCTTTTCAGGTATAATTTGATCACCGGGTCCATATAAAAATAAATATTTCACACGTCTACCATCATGAGTACCACCGGGAATATTACATAATGATTTATGAGCAAAATCTTGATGTCTTTTAACGACAGGTAAACTAAAAAAGATTGATAATACAGTAATTAAAAAAGGAGGAAGTTGTATGATAGGAATTTCTTCCTTTTCGAAATTTGAATTCGAAGTTGATTTTTTCATCAATGCTGTTTTTTTTAAAAAGCCTCCCATAATACCTAAGGCAAGATACTTTTCTGAAATAGGAGAAGGAGCTGAATCTATTACACAAGATTTTATTGAATTTAAAAAAGATTCGGCGTCATCTCTTGATAAATTTAATCCAGATGATGATGATATTATTTGTTTATGATCATTTTCTGAATAATTTTTTGATAGATCTCTAACGGCTTCACATAACATAGCATAATGATAAGTACCATTATCGCTAAATACATGAAATCCTATATTATTTGGTTTACCACGTTCAATCCATATCTCAATCAATTCTTTTGCTAAACGATAAATATCTCTATAAATGGTCCAAGGAAAAAATACATGATAAAATGGTGGTATATGAGATAATGTATCTGTATGAAATTTATCCGTATATAAAGACACATATTTAAGCAAATGTTTTGGTTTACAATTCCACCATCCAATTAATATCATTAATGATGGTTTATCTTGAGAAGGTGGTTGTTGTGTATCATCATCAATCGCTGGATATATTTGTGAAATATTACGGATATGTTGTGAAGTTGTATTCGAAGGATGCGTGGTGGTATCAGAAAAACTTTTTTGTGAAGAGGGTTGATAAACTAAAGTTTTTCCGAACTTTTCAGCATTAAACGCTGTTGTAATTTGACGAATGAAGTAAAAATTTGCGTGAAATGTAGTTTTATGTTTATATCGAAAAGTTTGTGAATTAAAATAACGTATCGGTGAAGAATTTTTCGGTGATGTATTAAATAATTTGGTTGATATAGCCAAAAGAAATAAAACTTTTGGTTGTTGCATAATTCTAAAAGAAAAAAGAAATTCGATCTACGAGGTCGGTTTCATTGACGGGTGTATAATAAATTATCGAAAAGAAACCATTGGCTATATTTTTCTTGATTGGGTTCGAACCAAATTCTTAATAAAGCAATGACCATCGAACATTTATATTACTATTTCAAAACGACTATTTTTTAGACAGATCTGCTCGTCCGAATTAAGAAATACTTTTCTACGTTTTTGCTAGTAATCTTACTAGAAATCTATCTAATAATTAACCTAGTAATATTATAGAGTAACGCTTACCCACCATCCCTTCCTTCAAGATATTCATTCATTTGATTTCGTTTATCATATAACGTTGATTTATTAAAATCTTTTTTTTCTTATAGATTTTGCTGATATTAGATTTGTTGATATCATGTTTTAATTGTTATATAAGTTGTTAATTTTTAATGAAATAAAATTTCCAATTCCTTCCTCCAAATATTAATTTTTCAAAAGAAAACTCTTTTTTTTTTTGAAATTATAAAATTAATTTTTTTTTTAATAAAGATACCTTTAAAATTGATAACCTTTTTTACATTCATGACTCTCGAGAAATGCAAATGGTCAATTATACCATTAAGTATTGATGAAGAAGACTTTATTTAATAAGGTAGTATTTTTGCAGATCAAAGCTTTCATTTAATGAAACTCCTTATGAGATTGGTGATATAATTTGTCTAAATGAAAAGTTTGTGATGTAATGACAAAGAAATTAAAATAAATTTATTGTGTTATTATATTTTTTATAATCAACTTTATTTTTTCTTTTACAAATTAATGCTATCTCCATAAAAATCTTTGATTTAGAATATGATAACATTCTAATGATAGGTCTAAATATTTTGTTTTAAATTCCACTACACCTACACATACTATAAGAAATATAAATAGAATTTTATTCTTGAATTTAAAATAGAAGAAAGATTAGAAGAAATAGAACTAAGTAATTAGAGTAAAATATGATCCAAACTAAATTTGTTAGATAACATCCAGAGTTTAGACAGGCATCTAAATAGTAAAAGTAAAACTTGGTTAAATTATATTAAAACCTAAAAATCTGCAAAATTCAGAAAAAGTTAAAACCATATCAAAGCTTATAAAATAGCGAAATTATATCAAACATTTAGTAAAAATTTGGTGAAAATAAAGATTTAGACGTTTAGCTAAATCCAAAATGAATTTAGATAAACAACCTTAATCCAGACAATATCTACTTAGAAGACAATCAGAAATGATGTCATTTCTATAGGAGAAATAGTGTGCTCTTGATGATATTATACAATTTATTTTTAAAAAGAGATATATATTACTATTACAATAATAATTTTATTGCATGTTATATTACAAATGCTTATTAATATTACAATTTTACTATGTATTGCATTTAATTAAGCTAGAAAAAATATTACAAATACTCTTTAGTATTATAATTGTTCAAATAGTTCTTTAGTATTATAATTCGCATTTAAAAAAATATTATCTTGCCCAAAAAATTATTTTTTCAATATTAAAAATATAAAGAATTTTTTGTTGTTGCAGGTTTTACATATTGTAGATTTCTTTGTATCTTTACAATAAAATAAACATATTTTTAAAAGTATCTTGTCTCAAAGTCACAAAATCTTTATAGAAAGTATATAAACATTTTTGCATTTTCAGTAATAGTAAAAAGTCATAACATTACTCCTAATAAAAGAGAACTCCAGCTTTAAGCATAAAATAGTTAGTGAGAAATTAAAACAAAAATAAAGATAATATTAAAAACCTTATTCTAAATTGTTATTTAACCTTCTTTCTTTAATTTTTTTTTCAAATTTATAGCAGAATTCTGTAATTAAACTTTTAACATTCCTTTTAAAAATTCTTTTTAATTTTCTAATAATACATAATTTCTACTTAACATATCAGTATAAAGACAAGCAGATACTATTATTTAAAAGCCAAAGCTGAAATCTATAAATATATTAAGATATCACAAGTAGTAACATTAATGGAATTTCATTTGCAATTTTTTCAAGGATTAAAAAGCTTGAAGAGACTATAATAATAGGGAATAATAAGCTTAAACAATTAATAGGAAATGCAACAGCTCAAAAATGAGCTTGTAAAAAGAAATGGCAAATGTTAAAAAAGGAAAATGTTGTGAAAATATCAGGTTAACCATCATATTTAATAAAAGATTTTAACCTTTTGGAAAATATGCATAATAATATTGAGTTTGGAGTTGCTGATCATAAAAATATAAGAAAGTAATAAAAATACAAATGATTAAACACCTCTATGAAAAATTAGAAGAGGATTATAATGTATATTTGTCAAAATCTACATTGACAAATTATATGCAACCTTACCAATCAGAAATAAAAAAAGCACAGTAATATCACTATTTTACATAAATACGTTTGATAGTGTTACTAGAAATAATTCTCTTTGTATTGTATGTGTTTCTCTAAGTTATTTTATTGTAACAAGTAAATTTTTTGTTATCAAACTTTACAATCTTAGGGAATCTCACGTTCTACATGTATCCAGAATATCTTAGAATTATTTCATTTGACTTTACAAACTTAAAGATTTAGAGATTTAGGAAAAACATAGGGAATTTTATTTATTCTAATTGACAAATTCAAAAGCAAGTTAATGTAGTAATTTATGATCAAATCCTAGATGATGGACACATAAAAGAAAAGTAATTGTTTTTCAAAGTTAATTTCTTTATTTATTACTTAAACTTATAATAAAACTGAAACTCGTAATAGAGTTTAAAACTCGTAAATGAATTAATTTACAACTTGAGCAAAAGCTATTCAATTTATACAAAATTAATTTATTACAATTAACTAGTTGCTACATTATAAACTAATTACATTTGTAACTACAAGTGATAATATAATGATAATAATAATAATAACAGATATAATAAATATAATAATAATAATAAAAATAATTAAAATAATAGAAATAAGCGTTATAATAATTATCCAGCTTATAAGACTTATTAGATGAATCTTAAGAATCCTAAGAATCCTATAGATCCAGAATTATATAGATCTTTTAATTTGTGATCGATATAAAATTAATTCCAGTAACTTTTGTAGATCATTTGATAATTCTTTATAGATCAACTTTTCAATAGTGAATGTTAGCCAGTAATAATGATAATTAGAAGAAACGAAATAAATAACTATGTTGATAAATATTAATATCTAGTATTAGTTAAAGGCATAAAATTGTTTGTATCAACTTATTTGCAAAATATTGTTTTGATCTCACAAAATGATAAAACCAAAGTAATTTAATCTATAATTTGATAATATAACAGAATTTTTTTGAGTGATAAAGAGAAAAAAATATTAAAAAATAAATTTATTATTAGGTTCTATTATGTATTATTGCAGTCGAAAAATATTTAAAGCAATATAAATATTAAATAAACTTATATCTGTTTTTAATCATAATTTTCCAGTGGATTTTAAGCATAAGTTAATACTATCTGTTTACCTATGTATTAATTTTAGCAATACAA